AGAACTTAGAATACAGAGCTTAGAAGACAGAACCAAGAAGACAGAACCTACACTCAGAACCTAGACACAGAACCTACACAGAATCTAGAACAGAACCTAGTGAGAGAACATGGCAAAAGATCCTGGACTGAACCTGACTATAGAACATGGCAAGAGAACCTGACTAGAACCTGGTGACTGAACCTGGCTGGAGAACCTGGAGAGAACCTGGCTGGAGATCCTAAGCAGAACCTCTCTGGAGATCCAGACCAGAACTTGGCTGGAGATCCTGGCTGGAGATCCTGGCTAGGCTGCTGATCAACTGAACACTGTCTCCGTGTCCTTCCTTCTTCACTGACTCCGTCTACGCCTTTGGGAACCCCTGGACCTGCTGGGGTTGGACCCCGGCATCTATCTCTCTCCCTTCCTCTCTGTAAAAAATCAATAAAATATACTAAAAAAAAAATTATATAAAAAAAAAGATCTTTGTTTTCCCCCCCCACGTGGCCATTAGGAAAATAGATGAAGTACCCACTGTCTTTTGGGTTACAGGGCATTCTGTCTTCATTTTGTCCAGAGTGCAATTTCCTCCACTTTGGGGTGAAAAGCTCTAAATCAGAAATTTCAACTTTTTTTTTTTCACATGACACACTAATTACTGAAATTCAGTGGCCCACCAAATATATATTTTGCCATTCTTCCCTCAAAAATGTCTGATTTTGGTTCATCCACACCACACAGCTATTTTGTTTGTTGTTGTCACTTATTTTTCGACAATGTATGGGTAATGTAGTGTGTGCTATTGACTAAGCAGTCACTGGTGACTGTTTTAATAATTATTTCAGCACACCAGTTTTCCTGTGTGACATTCCAGTTGATACTCTCTGTGGTAAACATATAAAATTCTGGGGAGAGGTCGGGGGATGGGGACGAGGAAGGATAGATATGTAATACTTGAAACAATAAGGAATTTAAATTTTTAAAAAAATCTGTCTTTTCTAATGATTCATTTCTCTGGAAGATCTACCCATTGATGTCGATAGGAAGTTAAAGCCCCCTCCTATGATTGAATTAATTTGAAAATGCCAATAACAATATACCTATCATTAATCACTTACAATATAAATGTTTTAACTGCTTCAACCAGAAGACACAGGGTATCTAATGAATAGGAGAATAAGACCCTTAACATATGCTCTTCACATGAGGCAAAGGCTGTTTCTCCTATCAGTCTTGTTTTTTCCCATTGGTTCCTGCGCATTTGTGCACATTAATACATCAATGCACGTGTAGTCTCTTATTTCCTGGTTTGTATAGACCTGCCAGGTTATCCATCCAGATGGGGTCCATAAGCAGTTCTGACTGAGTAGCCTGGCTGATAGTACAGAGCCCACTTGCAGGCTCCAATCCATGTGTGAATAGAAACCCCTTCTCAACGTGATCACCTCATCAAAGCTTGTGGCTCAGTTCCATGTTACTGCCTCATGCAGAGACGTGGTAAGGATGTTAATTTTCTTAGGGGAACATAAAAGCAAACAGTAAAACTAGCTTCCAAATGTTTACTGGTTACACCCAAAATAATTTTAAACTTGAAATATACAAGTTAATATTCATTGTGCTGTTTACTGTGGAAATTCTGAAGATGGTGCTGATGGGATTTGCATCAACCAGATGCATCTGTATATACCACAGACATTTCTAAAAATTTAGTTCAAATACAGAGCCTCCTGGTTTTCTCAGAAATAATATGAGTTTTGAAAAATTTAAAGTATTTTTATTTTACTATTTTAACTTTTTTTTTTATAAATTTGTAATTTTTAAAAAAAATATATTTTATTGACCTTTCACAGAGAGGAAGGGAGAAAGACAGAGAGTCAGAAACATCAGCAAGAGAGAAACATCGATCAGCTGCCTCCTGCACATCTCCCACTGGGGATGTGCCCACAACCCAGGTACATGCCCTTGACCGGAATCGAACCCGGGACCCTTCAGTCCACAGGCTGATGCTCCATCCACTGAGCCAATCCGGTTTCGGCAAATTTGTAATTTTTAAAACTTTTTATTGAATGCAGAGGGGAAGGGAGAGTGGGAGAGAGATAGAAACATCAATAGTGAGAGAGAATCATGGATCCCCTGCCTCCTGCATACCTTACATTGGGGCTGAAGCCCTGAACCAGGGCATATACCCTGCCAAGGAATGGATCCCTGACCTGATTCGTAGTTCTATGTTCAACCACTGAGCCAGGCCATCTAGGCAGATTTTTTTTATCTATATAAATAAAAATGTAAATGTTCGTTTGTTCAAAATCTTAAATCTCCGAAAGTTCTTCACTGATTGCTTTGAAATTTTGATACAATGTTGCATTCGAATACACGTGTGTTTTTATGTACCTATATATCTACTATTATATAGATGTCACACCTGTGACAGGTAAAAACATTCTTTTTTGAAAACAGCACCATCTGTTGGACGTAAAAGCAACAGACGCTATACTAAATATGTTACGATTCCATTTCAATGTTTCTGTTTACAATTATAAATTGTAGATCAAATTAACTACAAATATGAGTGTCCAGCTGCAAAACAATCCATCAGCTGAGTTATTCTCACATCAATTGCTGGAAATTGGGAACAGAAAGGTGCCGGTTGATCTGACCTCAGGACAAATTTCGTTGCCTCATAACTTCTGCAATTTAGTGACGTCAAAAGAAGAATTGGTTGAAAAAGTATTTCCCAATATCAAACCAATTATAAGAATCACGATTGGCTGAGTGAGCGAGCTATCCTTGCAGCCAAGAACAAAGACGTCTACGAACTTAACAATTTATTCAGTCTAACATTCAAAGCGAGGCAGTCACATACAAGTCCGTTGACACTGTTGTGGAAGCAGATGAAGCGGTTAATTATCCAACAGAATTTTTGAATGCACTCTGCCAGGGATGCCACCGCACGTACTGCAATTGAAAATCAGCATTCCAATGATCATGTTGCGAAATATCAGCCAGCCAAAGCTTTGCAACGGCACACGGCTTGCAGTAAAAAAATTAGTGAGCAAAGTCATAGAAGCAACAATCTTGACAGGACCTTTCAAAGGTGAAGATGTCCTCATTCCTCGCATTCCTATGATTCCAACGTATATTCCATTTCAATTCAAGACATTGCAATTCCCAATTCGATTGGCGTTTGCAATCACCATCAACAAAGCTCAGGGCCAATCTTTAGAATTGTGCAGTTTAGATCTAGACACGGATTGCTTCTCACATGGAAAATTATGTGTTGCGTGTTCTAGAGTTGGCAAACCAGACAATCTCTATATCTGCACAGACAGTGGAACAACAAAAAATATTGTATACCCACAAGCATTGTGAAATTAAACATATTAGAAACGTGCGCTTTCTGTTTTCTTTCTTTTCCATTTAACCAGACTGAGCCACAGCAATGCATGGCTGGGTACAGCTAGTTTCAAATAAATGCTTATGTTGAGATAGGGCACAGGCCAAGCTGAGTGACCTGCCCACCCCTCCCCCATGCACCAGACCTCTAATCCTGTATAATAAAAAGTAATATGTAAATCGACCAAATTGGGGAAAGACCAGTCACTGTCACATGCACTGAATACCAGGGGGCAGATGCCCAAAGCAGGAGCTACCCTTGGTGATCAGTGCGCTCCCACAGGCAAAGTACCACTCAGCCAGAAGCCGGGCTCATGGCTGAGGAGAACAGTGCAGGTGACAATAGCCTCTCCTGCCTCCCCGGTAGTGCTAAGGATGTCGGTCCCACAAGGCCCCCCCCCCCACAAGTGCAGGAATTTCATGCACTAAGCCTCTAATGTATAAAATTCAATGCACAACTGCTGTTCTCTGGAACATTATCTCAATTTTTTGAAGTTTAGCTTCCTGTCACTTGTGGACAGTTTGGCTCAAATAAACCCACAAAAATTCTTCATAGTTTTGAATGTTTCTTATGTTTACGGGAAGATGTTAAGATATAAGGAATTGGGCAATGTATTTACCCGAGAGTTAAACATCACTAAACATCAGTCAATATACATCTAACAGAAACCTTAAAGGTATGATGTGTGTGGGAAAGATCTTATCCAAAATTGCATCCTTGAAGGGTCCCCATAATATGATTTTGGAAAGCAATATTACAAATGACAGGAGTGAATTGTCAGGAGGAAAGCAGAAAAGGCCTTTTTCTTTGCTGTAACCTTCAATTCGCTATGAAAAGCACCTGATAATTACCCACAGAGATGGCTGACTTCCTTAATTCCAGCTGTCTCTTCTTTAATGGCAAGACAGAGGGGCTGAGAGAGCAGGCTGCCTTTCCCCCTCAGCCCTCCTCACTGAGGTTTTAATGACTCAGGGGAAATTGGAGGCAGGAAGTTTCTGGTTTCAAACCCAATCTGCCCCAGTTTTGAATTCTCTGTAACTTCACTGTAAGAATGTGTTATCGGCTTGCGAAGATCCTGGGAAAGACACCTCCCTGGGACACCTGCAGCTGAAGGGCAGACCAGCCAGTAGCTCTAAGCACAGCCTTTGGGAGCTGGGAAACTTCTGTGTGAATTCCCCTGATTCCCTCCTGTTTGGTCCCACCTCCAGGAGCCAGCAGCAGAGACGTGGTGAGACTTTAGGAAATTGCATTGTATTCTCTCACCACGGCCTGAGACCAGTGTGTTGGTGTCAGCCCTGAAGGGTGACTAGGTTTCCTTTAGGGTAGAAGTGTGCAGGAAAGGGTGAGGGTGCGGTGCAGGCGTTGGTCAAGAGGCGGGGAGGCAGGATTTGGTCAAGGGAGTCCAGGGAGGAGATTTCACCAGTGAGTTAGGGGGAGGGCAGTTCTTATGTTGCCTCTGGGTACATCAGCCCTCAGCGCCCAGCTGTGCAAAAAAGTCTAGGCTACCCACTCCCTCCTGCCCCGCCCTCCCTCCCTCTGTCCCTGCACAGGCCCCGCGGCCAGGCTCGGTCCCGCCCCCATCGCGGAGTCGCTCGCTCTGGCCCCGCCCACCCCGCAGAGAGGCGCATGCGCAGTTCCTTGCAGACGCGGAAGCGGCCGTGGAGGGGAAGGTGGCGGTTCCCCCTGAGGAGGGTGTTTGTCTTTAAAGCTGACGCTCCCCGTCCCCCTCCCCGCAGGGAAGGCTGAGGGCGCTGCCGGCGCTGAAGTCCTTGTTGGGGTCCCCGCCCCGGAGCCCCTCTCAGCGGTGAGTCCGGTCCCGGGAGGCTGCGCGGTGCGGGCGCCACGTTCCTTTGGGAGGAAACGGAGGCCCCGGCCCGGGGTCTCTCCGCCTGTGGCTGTGGCCACCGCCTGCCGCGCGGTTTTCCCGCTGAAAACCGTTCCCGGGGCCGCCGGTCCTCCCCGCGGGGCTGAGAGTCTGGCTCAGGGGGTTCCCGCCCTTTTTGCCCCTCCCCCCGCCCGGCGCTTTCCGCCCAAACAGCCCGGATGGCTCCTGTCCTGGGGGTCTGCACCCCCCTCCTAGGCCCACCCCCATTTAATAAGGGGTCTGCCTGCCCGGGGAGCACAGTGTCCATGAGGGGGGCTCAGGGGAAGGACGCGGTGTCCCCTGAAGAGGCGACCTGCCCGCAGGGAGGGGCTTTGTGGGCGCGGTGACTGCGGGGGGCGGGGGCCCAGGCTGGGGGGTCAGAGAGGGAGTGAGAGACAGACACGAGGGCGGGAGGAAGGGCAGCGAGGGGTCCACAGAGAGGGGCCCATGGGGTGTGTGTGGGGGACTGGACGGCGACGGTAGGAGTGAGGGGGTCACTCGGGAAAGTGGCCTGAGGAGGAAGGAAGTGGAGACACAGGGAGGAGGGGGACCCAGAGAGAGGAAGGGGGGTGAGAGGGAGAGGGTCCTGGTTGTGCTGGGCTGCATATCTGGCGCTTTGGCCAGAGGGTCATGCTGTGTTGTCTGTTCCTAGAGCACACAGATAGGAAGGTACTGACATCAGGCCAGGCCTTGAGATATGGTCTCATGGCCCCTTCCCAGCACATAGGCCTTCTTTCTCAGAAGGCCCGGAAGTCTCATTCCAAATTTGGGAGACAAAGGACAGGAAAAATACAAATAAAGAGAGTTTCCTCCATATTCGGGGCCCCAGAATTTGAAAGACACATTTTTCTCTGGGCCTGCACAGAATTTAATAATAAAATATAACTCCTGTAGTCTGCTCTGCAGTTAAGCCTCTGCTTCGGCAGGGTGCTGTAACTGTAGTCGCTGGCCAGCTCAGTAAATCCTCGCTTGCTGTTTAAGACCTAATTGGAGTCGGTGGTCTTATTCTCGTGAATGTTGGTCCACAACACTGGGGAGCAGAAGTGGGGACCCACAGGAGGAGGCTCTTGAGACAGAGACTCTGGTTCAGAGGAGAAGAGTTGGGGAGCGAGTGCAGGGACAGAAAGGGGGGCTCAGGGATGAGGGAGCAGAGGGAGCAGCACTGACTCAGCAGCTGTGGGAGCGGACAGACTGGAACAGGCAGCAGAGGGGCCACGGGCGTGGGGAGGGGAAGACGCAGACGCAGAAGCAGACGCAGATGTGTGTGGAGATGGAGCCTCAGAGACCAGGAGAAAGAGCCCCTGAAGGGAAGTAGGTTTGAGGAGTTTCATGGTCCAGGTGTAGGATGGACAGACAGAAAAGGGGAGAAAGAGCAGGGGAGGGGGGACACAGGAAAGGACCACAGTGGAGAGAAAGGGAGCAAGAGACAGAGACAGATCCACAGACAGTCAGCTTCCTCCTGCTAGCCCCTCACTGGGGATCAAACCTGCAACCTGACCATTCGCCCTGACTAGGAATCTAGGTCACTGAGTTAGGCTGCTTAGGTGCCTTTTTACATTTAATTTAACAGGTGGATTGTCTCAGTCATACAGATTGAATGAGAATTATAAATCTCCAGCTTATAAGGGCTTGGGAATTTTATAATGATTTGTTTCCAATTGCAACCATTATTCACTCAGAGGGGTGAGACTTATCTGTTGGTCATGGGTCCCTTGTCATTTCCTGGGATGCAACGAGGAAGTGACCTGTGTCTGTCACCATTTGATCCTTTTTTTTCAGGACTATTTAAAGCCTTAGCTTTGTTGCTGTGTGGTGTGTGTGTGTGTGTTCTGTGGATTTACTTTTTCTATGTCTGACTATTTATTATTTGAAAACATCCTGAAATAAATCCTCTGGGTCTTCTCAGATCCCTGAGGAGCTTAAAGAAATCCCCTCAGGTACACTTTCCCCCATAGAGTTAGACAGCTGCTCTGACTGGGGCATCCTTGGTTACTGAGGGCCTCCAGGTGTTTGGAAGGTGAGGACAGGGATAGCAGGAGGGGTGCAGGATGCCTTTGTGAAAGTGGGGAGCAGGCTTTGTTCAGGGGAGATAAGGGGGTGCTCTGTTTGGCTTCCGCCGTCAGGACAGCAGCTCACCTCATTTCTGTAGGAGTTTGTGGGTATCTTTTGGAGGAGAGACACATGAAGACAAAATAAAACACCTCACAGTGTGCTCTCCATGTAGGGGCTCATTGTTCCTGTCTCTGCTGTGACCAAAGACAGGAGAGTTGGCCTTTTCCTCATTTCCAGGTCCTTCTGACTGTGAGTGAGGGGAGCTGATTAACAGGCTGAGCTGACGTCTTTGAAGGCACATTCTGTGACCCTTCAACATAGTGTCACCTGAGAAAACTTCCCCGACCCCGATCAGGACCAGGACCAAGACCAAATGGCTGCTTCTCAGGTAAAGGATGTGTCCTGGGTCACAGGCTGTGTTTCTTTTTCCTCTGTCATCTGGTGATTTATTTCTCTACTGTGATGTTTTTGTCTTTGCAGGTTGGTTTTCTTTCCTTATTTTATTACTTTATTCAACACAGTCAATGTCAGCAGTTTCTATATTTCTCTTTCTTTTTTTGTGTGTTTTTCCTGTCTTTTTAAAATATATTTTTAATTGCTTTCAGAATGGAAAGGAGAGGGAGAGAGAGAGAGAAACATCAATTAGGTTAGAGAATCATGGGTCAGCTGCCTCCTGCATGCACTGAGTATGAAGTTGGAAGGCTGGAGTGTGCCCTGACGAGGAATCGAAGCCTGCCCCCCTGGTTCATAGATCAGCCCTCTACCTCTCAGACACACTGTCTGGGTTATACTCCCTCCATTGTGCCAGAGCCTTGTCTGCATGCATTTTGTCACCCTCCCCAGGTCAGGAAGCATTCCTACCTTTAATCAGTGACTTTCAACTACTCAAAATGTCCCTTTTGTGACAGATCAAACTTGGAAGGCAGCCATGTCTAACATCCCTATTGGGATGGGGTCAGAGGCTGGAAATGTCCCTCTTGTTAGAGGCTGAGGTATCAGTGAAGAAGGCAAATGTAGGTTTTAGTTTCATGTGGCTGCAGCATCAGCTATAGATGAGGGGTAAGAAGCTGCACATCTGACTGCTCAGAATAGCTCAGAAAGTTCTGGAAAAAAGGGCAAATAGAAGAGACTTGCTCATTATTATAGTACGAGAGACTTGGTAGGTAAATGCACTGTTAGCTTACAGAGCATGAGAGGCACAGGTGGATTGGCACTTGCAAAAACTAATGTTTATTTGTAATCATTTCCACATATTTATTTATTGAGGTATTTTTGGCAGTAATGTCACAGCAGTAGTGACCTGACCATCCTTGTGCCTCAGTCACCTGATGCCCATTGTCTCAGTCCATCTGATGGCAGAGGTGCTTCCCTCACTGTAGAGTTAATAGTCTCCCTTTCTCAGGAACAAGGGTGTAGTAGCGAAATTTTTTTTTTTTTTTTTTGTAGTAGCGATTTAATGAAAATTGTGCAAAGACCATCACTTCACATCTGGAAATGTCCCTCTTGTTAGTTTGCGTTTGCTTTGGAAAATGAATGACTTTTATTTCCTACAGATCATTGGCTTTTTCATGGGAGCTTTAAACAATTAGGCCTTGATTCTTTACATTTTCCTTATATACTATACTCACATGAGAGACATACACTACACCAGCGGTTCTCAACCTGTGGGTCGCGACCCCTTTGGGGGTCGAACGACCCTTTCTCGGGTCGCCTAAGACCATCGGAAAACATATATAATTACATACAGTTTTTGTGATTAACCACTATGCTTTAATTATTTTTAATTTGTAACAATGAAAAATACATCCTGCATATCAGGTATTTACATTACAATTCATAACGGTAGCAAAATTACAGTTATGAAGTAATAACAAAAATAATTTTATGGTTGGGGGTCACCACAACATTAGGAACTGTATTAAAGGTTTGCGGCATTTGGAAGGTTGAGAACCAGTGCCCTACACTATCATTTCTTGTATTTTCTAAAAAGTTTTCGCCCTAGCTGGTTTAGCTCAATGGATAGAGCGTCGGCCTGGGAACTGAGGGGTCCCGGGTTTGATTCTGGCGAAGGGCACATGCCTGGGTTGCGGGCTCCATCCCCAGTGGGGGGGGAGGGAGGGGGTGTGCAGGAGGCAGCCAATCAATGATTCTCTCTCATCATTGATGTTTCTCTCTCCTCCTCTCCTTTCCTCTCTAAAATCAATAAAATATATTTTTAAAAAATAATAATAAAATAAATAAATAAAAAGTTTTCAAGAATGACATTATTTTTTTTTATTGCTTAAAATATTACAAAGAGTATTACATATGTCTCCTTTTTTTTCCCCCCCGCCCTTGACAATCCCCCGGCCTCCCCTAACCCCCAGTGTCTTATGTCCATTGGTTATGCTTATATGCATGCATGCAAGTCCTTCGGTTGATCTCTTACCCCCCCCTCCCACCCTCAACCCTCCCCGGCCTTCCCGCTGTAGTTTGACAGTCTGTTCGAGGCAGCTCTGCCTCTGTATCTATTTTTGTTCATAAGTTTATAATGGTCTTTATTATCCATAAATGAGTGAGATCAAGAATGACATTATTGTGCTCGCTTCGGCAGCACATATACTAGTGTTGGAGCGATACAGAGAAGATTAGCATGGCCCCTGCGCAAGGATGACACGCGAATTTGTGAAGCGTTCCATATTTTTTAAAAGAGAAAAAAAAAAAAAAAAAAGAATGACATTATTAATGTATCTTCGGTTTCATTAAATTTCTACAACATAGCTCTCCACTAATGATACATAAAAATTTTGAAAGAAATGTACTAATAAGAAAAATTAGTTCCCCTAGGCTGGTACGATGTTTCTCTCTCTTTCACATTGTTCTTTCTCTCTCCTCTCTCTCTCCTCCCCCTCTATTTCTATCCCTCTCCCTCCCCCTCTTCCTCTCTCCCTCTTCTTTTCCCGCCTCTACCTTCCTGCCTTCCACTCTTAAAAAGTCAATGGAAAATATCTTCTCATGGGAGGATGTACAAGCACACAAAGGAAAACAATAGTCTAACTTGTTTTCTATTTTTATCTTTTCTCCTTATTGTGTTTATAAAATACAAAGGGGATCATACACAAATAGATTCATGAGATTTATGCAGTCACTAAACCATCTTGATTTCATAGTTGTAAAATGTGTCTCTGTACCTAAACTGTTAGCGTTATTTTAGCTGTGTTTTCTTTGTGTTTTTTTCCATGTACCAGTATATTTTTATGGATTTCAGGGAGGAAATGAGAGGTAGAGATAGATAGAACATTAGTGAAGAGAGAGAATCATTGACCGGCTGCCTTCTGTACACCCCACACTGGGGATACTGACTGCAACCTGGTCGTGTTTCTAGACCCGGAATGGAGTGAGTGACCAATCATTGTACCGGTCAGCACGCAACAGAGCCACACCTGCTGGTCCAGGGAGAATAATCTTGTTTTAAGATTACTCAAAATAAATTTCCAAATAGCATTGAGGTTCCTATGAGTCCTATTTCATGAAAACTGGATTCCATTAACAAACCCTTTTAGTTCAAAGTTCTATATGAATTTTTCCTTGTGTTTTCTTTTTCTGTATATTCAGAAGTCTGGCACATGATGGGGAAACATTAGCATCACAAGTAAAAAGTGAGCTTGTTACACATGTGGAAATACAGGGCCCATCTCAGAACTTGGATCAGAGTTTGTATTTTTATAGAAATTCGTTTCCTTGTGGTCTGCTTCACACTTGAGAAGAACTCTGTATACTTCCAACCAGCGTGACATTTCCTGCTGAGAAATATACTTCACTGACCCTGAACGATGTAAATGCAGCCTTCAGAAATTTATAAACCTGTCTCCATGCCTTAATTTTACTTTATTTTCCCGTAAAGGAAAATCTGTACTGTGGATTTGTGGACGCTTGTCATCCTCATGTGTCAGTGTTAGAAAACACATCAGAGAATATTACTGGGGCAAAGTGATCTTACTTTATAGTTCAGGATACCCCCTACGGTCATAACCTCTTCTCCTAACACTGTTTTCATGTTGGGTGACATTATGAACTCTTCTCGTGACCTCTTGTTAACTGTCTTTTCTTTCAGGAACGGTTGTCCTTCATGGATGTGGCCATAGATTTCTCTCAGGAGGAGTGGGAATGCCTGGACCCAGCTCAGCGGAAATTGTACCTGGATGTGATGCTGGAGAACTACAGCAACCTGGTCTCCGTGGGTGAGGATGACTTCCTTCCCGAGTTCCTTCTCAACCCTCAGGACTTTGTTTCCTTTATTATATTAACATCTCTAGGGGCTTTTGCTTTTTGTGTTAGATTCATGCTCTCAAGGAACAAATTGAGCCCCAGCTGGTTGGGCTCAATGGATTGAGGGCCGGCCTGCAGATTGAATGGTCCCTGGTTTGATTCTGGTCAAGGACCAATGCCTGGGTCCAGTCAGGTGCGTGCAGGAAGCAACCAATCAATGATTCTCTCTCATCATTGATATTTCTATCTCTCGTTCCCTCTCCATTTTTCTCTGAAAGCAATAAAAATATATATTTTTTAAAAGAGTAACAAATTGGTGATCCTTGGGAGAGAAAAGCAAAACTTTGTGATATCTGTGAATTAGGAACTCAGAGTTTGCACACTTTACATGTTGTGTACACTAATTAAGGTACTATCAGAAAATGATATTTTAGGAAATCATTTTCTAGAATATTCTAACATTCCACCATGTCTTCTGGCCATAGGACAACCTGGATTGGAAATGGAAAAGCCTTTATCAAAATTCACACTCCATTTTCTTTTATTTTCTAAGATTTTATTGAATTCATGGTAGAAGGAAGAATTAGAGGGAGAGAGAAACTTAAGCTGGGCCTTAGTTGATGTTTTTGTATGTGCCCTGACCAGAGATCAAACCTACAACTTGGTTATATCGGTACAGTCCTCTAAGCAACTGGGCTACCTGTGCAAGCAGATTGGATTCTTTCACTTAGTTCTATTTATCTAGGCTTCTATCATATCTTTTCAAGACTTGATGTATTATTTCTTTACTAGATTCCTGGTGCACGAAATTCATGCACCTGGGGGAGGGTGTTACTCAGCCCAGCCTGCACTCTCTCCAATCTGGGACCCCTTGGGGGTTGTCTGATTGCCAGTTTCGTTCCAATCCCATAGGGATCAGGCCTAAACGGGTACTGCATATCTCTCTCATAATCCAGGACTGCTGGCTCCCAATCACTCGCCTGTCTGCCTGCCTGATTGCCCCTAACTGCTTCTGCCTGCCAGCCAGCCTAATCACTCCCTAACTACTCTCCTGCCAGCCTGATTGATGCCTAACTGCTCCCCTTCTGGCCCGGTCGTCCCCAACTGCCCTCCCCTGCCCGCTCGGTTGATCTCAACTGTCCTCCCTTGACAGCCCGGTCGTCCCCATCTGCTCTCTTCTGATGGCCCGGTTGCCTCTAACTGCCCTCCCCTGATGGCCTGGTCGACCCTGACGGCCTTACCCTGTCGACCTGATCACCCGCAGCTACCCTCCCCTACCAGCCTGGTCACCCCTAACTACCTTCCCTGCCGGACTGGTCGTTCCTAACTGCCCTCCCCTGCAGGCCTGGTTGTTCCTAACAGCCCACCCCTGCTGGCCTGGTCGCCTTTAACTGCCCTCCCCTGTTGGCCTGATCGCCCACAACTGCCCTCCCCTCCCGACCATCTTGTGGATGTGGGCGCCACCATCTTTGAGGGCATGGCACCCAATTAGCTTATTCCCTCCTTATTGGCTGTGGGTGCCATCATGTTTGCGACAGCATGAGGGTCAATTACCACATTCCCTCTTTAGTAGATAGGATAGTAGTGAGTAAGACATCATTGTGCAACCTTCAGTGTATTTATCCATTCATATGTTGACAGACCTCTTCATTGCTTCCAAATTTTGTAAATTATGAATAAAAAGCCTCCTGGTAGGCTTTTGTGTAGATCAGTGATGGTGAAGCTTTTAAGCTCGGCGTGTCAGCATTTTGAAATACCCTAACTTAACTCCGATGCCGTGTCACATATAGAAGTTTTATGATATTTGCAAACATAGTAAAACAAAGATTTATATTTTTTGATATTTATTTTACATATTTAAATGCCATTTAGCAAAGAAAAATCAACCAAAAACATGAGTTTGCGTGTCACTTTTGACACACGTGTCATAGGTTCGCCATCACTGGTGTAGATAAAAGGCTTAACTCTTTGGTTTAATGGTAAGGAGCCCGATTAGTGAATCCCATGGCGAGCGTATAGTTAGTTTTATAAAAACCTCCAGACCGCCAAAACCGGTTTGGCTCAGTGGGTAGAGCGTCGGCCTGCGGACTGAAGGGTCCCAGGTTCGATTCCGGTCAAGGGCATATACCTGGGTTGCGGGCACATCCCCCATGGGGGGCGTGCAGGAGGCAGCTGATCGATGTTTCTCTTTCATCGATGTTTCTAACTCTCTATCTCTCTCCCTTCCTCTCTGTAAAAAATCAATAAAATATATTAAAAAAAAAAAAAAAAACACCTCCAGACCGTCTCCCCAAGGGTCTGTAGCATTTGGCATTTTCAGCAGCAGTGATTGGAGTTCCAGTTGCTCCAAATCACAAAGGCATTTGGTAGGGTCGGTGTTCTAGATTCTGATCTGTTCAATGGTGGTTTAGTGTTGCTTGCCTTTTCTCTTTGTTCCTTCTCATTGTTATAATGTACATTTCCTTTTCAGGTTGTTTTGTCAATGTTGAGTGTGAAGACTTCTTTGTCTATTTTGCACAATTGACCTGTACATGTTGACTTTTTAATTAATATATCATATATATACTACAGGCCTGGTGCACAACATTTGTGCATGGGTAGGGTTCCTAGGCCTGGCCCTCCGGCCTCCTCTTTACCTCGCTCCCTCAGAGCCCCACCACCTCTGCTGGTCTCCTGCCATGTTTCGCACCGCCCCATAGTGGTTAGGGCATGTCATGGCAAGCAATCAAACTCCCGCACTCCAGGTCAAACTCCCAAGCGGACAATATATACTTGTTCTTTGATTTAATGTAGTTTTATATTCAATAATATGAAAGTTATATTTGCAGGTACTGTGTCATTTCTGGAATAAACACATAGTGAGTCACGTCTTGAAGGAGATGAGTTATAAATTTTGTCGCCTTACATGCCAAATCAAATGAAATCTTTTATTTCAAATGCTCAAGCATCATTCAAAAAATAGTCCTTTTTTTCCAGTCTGATATCTTCACTATTGCAAATAGTGGTACAAAGCATATATGGGTGGGTATATCTGTTTTTATTCATGTTCTCTGTATAAATCGCCAGAAATGGAATCGCTGTGTTAACTGGTACTTGTCTGTAAGTATTGGAAAACACTCCATCATGTTTTGTGAGTGGCTCCACTAATCTACATATCACAGCCCTAGCAACCCTTATGCCTGGTCCACCGGTTGCTATGACAACACACTGACCACCAGGGGTCAGACACTTAACGCAGGAACTGCCCCTGGTGGTCAGTGTGCTTCCACAGCCAACTTCCCTAAGCTGACCACCCTCTCTTGATTATGGATGATTGGCATCTTGTTAGGTGTTTGGTGGTATTCCATGGTGTCCATTTTCATTTCTCTGATGCTGAAGGGAGTTGAATGTCATTAAATACCAGTATGTTTATTGTGCATCTTTATGTCCTGTTTAGGAAATGGCCGATCAGGTCCGTTGTCCATATTTCAATCATGTTGTTTGTCCTTTTGGTGGTAAATTGTGTGAGTCCCTTATACAGTGGGGCCTTGACTTACGAGTGTCCCGACTAACGAGTTTTTAGAGATACGAGCCATCTCTCAGCTGATTTTTTGCTTTGAGTTGCGAGCTAAAATTCGGGTTACGAGCCAGCTTCAGATACCCCACCGCTAGTTGGGGTAGCTTCAGATACCCCACCGCTAGTTGGCACAGCGAATGTCACAGTGAACGCCACAACATCAGCCTGATTTGACATACGAGTAATTTGAGTTAAGAGCTCCGTAACGGATAGAATTAAACTCTTAAATCAAGGTCCCACTGGATATTTTGGATCTTTAGCTTTTGAGGATGTAACGTTGCTGGGTTTTTGTGGTGGTTGTTATATTGTGGTTTCTATTGGTATGCCAAACTTACTCTTTTGTAGTCTCATTTCTTTATTTTTTAGCTACTTTGTTATGCCTAGGAAGATATATGCAAACCAGTATTTTTAAGAGTGATGGTAAAGTTCATTGACTATGCCTTCTTCCAGTGTTTTCATGGTTTTAGTTCTGATATTTTAGTTGTTAATGCATGCTGAGTTCATTTTGGTTCATGGCCTATTGAACGGGACCTACTTTTAGTAGGGATAGAGGTAACTTATTTGGTTGGTTTTATATACCATGTTTTGAGAAGTGAATTATATATGCATCTATATATCATTATCTATCTATCTATCTATCTATCTATATATGTATATATATTTTTAGAATGTGGAGTCTGTGATTTCCAATACAGAATTCTGTCACCTCTTAGCAGAGATCATTTTATTTGTTTTCTTTTTTTTTTTTTATCTTTTGTCACTATGGAAGTACTTTAAATATCTTAATGTTATAACAATGTTCCTTAAACCATACTGTCAATTTCATGAAATCTCTGCTGGTTGCCATTTCTACCCATGTACCCACATAAGTTGATATCACAATATCTTTAATGTTTGTCTTATAGAAGAGATTTGAGATTTTATTCCTTTTATGTATTTTTTATTTTTAAAAAATTCATTTTTTATGTTATTTTAGAGAAGAAGGAGATGGGGAGAGAGAGAGAAACATCCATGATAAGAGAAAATCATTAATTGACCGCCTCCTGCACACCCCACACTGGGAAGGAGCCCAGAATACAGGCATGTGCCCTGACCAAGAATCAACCTGTGACCTCCTGGTTCACAGATAGACTCTTAACTACTGAGCCACTCAGGTCGAACAATTACTTTTATTTTCTAAAGTTCCACAAGAGAAATCAAAGTGATACGTGTTTCTGCCGAGACCGGTTTGGCTCAGTGGATAGAGCGTTGGCCGCGGACTGAGGGGTCCCAGGTTCGATTCCGGTCGAGGGCATGTACCTGGGTTGCAGGCACGTCCCCAGTGGGAGATGTGCAGGAGGCAGCTGATCGATGTATCTCTCTCATCGATGTTTCTAACTCTATATCTCTCTCCCTTCCTCTCTGTGAAAAATCAAT